CTGGAGGCGGAGGTTGCGGTGAGCCGAGATCGTGCCATTGCACTCCAGCCTGGGTAACAAGAGCGAAACTCCGTCTCAAAAAAAAAAAAAAAAAAAAAAAAAGACGGGGTTTTACCAGGTTGGTCAGGCTGGTCTTGAACTCCCAACCTCAGGTGATCCGCCCGCCTTGGCCTCCAAAGTGCTTGGATTACAGGCATGAGCCACCATGCCCAGCCGGAAGCTCCACTCTTAAACTAAAGGCTTAAACAAGTTCTGAGGAACATGTCTGGACGGAGATCCTCTGCTCCCATGTCTTCTAGCGACCCACACTGTCCCCACAGCCTTGGAGTCGTGGGAGGGGACCGCACCCCTTTGTCTCCCCCATTCTTCTTTCCTCTCCAGGGGCTGCCTTGCACCTCCATGACATTGGCATTGTGACTATGGACTGGCTGGTGAGGAATGTCACCTACAGACCCCACTGCCACATCTGTTTCACCACGAAGGGGATCGTGCAGTTTAGATTTGCTCACCCAACTCCGCATACGTCGGAAGAATGTCGCAAGTGGATTCTGCTGGAGGATTATCGGAGGCAGGTGCAAAACGTCACTGAGTTTGACGACAGGTGAGTCATAGTTCAGAAAACACGTGTCCCAGGCCGGTCATGGGTGGCAGTGGGGAGGTGTCTCCCTTGGTACAAACCTATAGATAAAAATCTGTCTTTAAAAAAGCATGAGGCAAAGCTGAGCACAGTGGCTCTCACCTGTAATCCCAGCACTTTGGGAGGCCGAGGTGAGCGGATCACTTGAGCCCAGGAGTTGCCAGTCTGGGCAACATGGTGAAACCCTGTGTCTACCAAAAATACAAAAAATTAGCCAGGCATGCTGCTGCCCGCCAGCAGTCTCAGTTACTCAGAGGAACTGAGTAGGGTGGGAGGCTGAGGAAGGAGGATCACTTGAACCCAGGAGGTTGAGACTGCAGTGAACTGAGATCGAGCCACTGCACTCCAGTCTGAGTGACAAGATAAAACCCTATCTCACCGGGCACGGTGGCTCACGCCTATAATCCCAGCACTTTGGGAGACTGAGGTGGGTGGATCATGAGGTCAGGGGTTCGAGACTAGCTTGTCCAACATGGTGAAACCCCATCTCTACTTAAAAATACAAAAATTAAGGGGCCGGGCGTGGTGGCTCATGCCTGTAATCCCAGCACTTTGGGAGACTGAGGCGGGTGGATCATGAGGTCAAGAGATTGAGACCATCCTGGTCAACATGGTGAAACCCCGTCTCTACTAAAAATACAAAACATTAGCTGGGCATGGTGGCACGTGCCTGTAATCCCAGCTACTCAGGAGGTTGAGGCAGGAGAATTACCTGAGCCCAGGAGGCAGAGGTTGCGGTGAGCCGAGATCGCGCCATTGCACTCCAGCCTGGGTAACAAGAGTGAAACTCCATCTCAAAAAAATAAAATAAAATAAAATAAATAAAACCCTATCTCAAAAAAAAAAAAAAAAAAAAAAAAGCATGAGCAGCTTTTTCTTTTAACTTTACAGGAGACTCTGCTCCACAAAAGCATTCAACACCTTTTCTATCAATAGTAATTTTCTGGTGCATTTAAAATTTACAAAAAGCATATCAACATCACTATTTTTAGTTATTGTTATTATTTTTTGAGACAGGATCTTGCTCCGTTACCCAGGCTGGAGTGCAGTGGCGTGATCTCGGCTCACAACTTCTGCCTCCCAGCTTCTAGTGATTCTCCTGCCTCAGCCATCTGAGTAGCCGGGATCACAGGCATGTACCACCATGCATGGCTAATTTTTGTATTTTTAGTAGAGACAGGGTTTCACTATGTTGGTCAGGCTGGTCCTGAACTCCTGACTTCAGTTAATCCACCCGCCTTGGCCTCCCAAAATGCTGGGATTACAGGCATGAGCCACTGTGCTTGGCCAGCAACTCTATTGCCGCAGCAAATGAGATTTGTCTGATGCTCAGTAAGACCAGAGAGAATAAAAGTTCCTAGATCTGAAGTGATGACGATCTCGCTGGAAGATGAATCTTCTTTTTTTTTTTTTTGAGACAGAGTCTCGCTCTGTCGCCAGGTGCCAGGCTGGAGTGCAGTGGCATGATCTTGGCTCACTGCAACCTCCGCCTCCTGGGTTCAAGCAATTCTCCTGCCTCAGCCTCCCAAGTAGCTGGGACTACAGGTGTGCGCCACCATGCCCAGCTAATTTTTGTATTTAAGTAGAGACGGTGTTTTACCATGTTGGCCAGGGTGGTCTCAATCTCTTGACCTTGTGATCCACCTGCCTCGGCCTCCCAAAATGCTGGGATTACAGGCATGAGCCACCGTGCCTAGCCTCCTCTTCTTATAAGGACACCCATCCCTATTACACTAGGGCCCCATCCTTACAATCTCATTTAATCTTTATCATCTCTTTGAAATTCCCTTCTTCATAAGAGGGCTAGGGCTTCAACATTTGAATTTGAGGCTTGGGGACAGAATCTAATCCATAACATCCCCCAAAAAGAGCTTGGTCTAGTTTGCCGTCAGTGGGTGTAGGAAGAATGAGAGAGAAAGGGAGAGAGAGAGCTTTTAGGTCTAGAATGTAAGTACAGTGGGGTCAGATTGGCCAAGCATGCAGAGGGAGGACAGGAGCCAGGAGAGCCTGGCTGGTGAGCTCTCCTCTCAAGCAGTCTCCTGGGGTTGAGGTTAGGGTTTAAGCAAGCACTGGGCTGCCTGGCCGCAGGACCCAGTCTTATATCAGAGGGCCTGGGAATGCTCCCCTTTGCCCTTTCCTTATCTCTGCTCAAGGGTGCATCCTGGTGTGCTGCTAGCTGGGAGATGCAAGGTGGGTAGCAGGCCAACGGGTGCCTGGGGCAGTGTCCTGGACCAGCCTCCACTGCTCCCCGCTTTGTGTCTTGGACAGCTTGCTGAGGAATTTCACTCTGGTGACCCCGCACCCGGAAGTGATTTACACAAACCAAAATGCTGTCTGGTCGAAGTTTAAAACCATCTTCTCCACCATCTCTGGCCTCATCCGTTACGCACCAGTGTTCAGAGACTATGTCTTCCAGAGCATGCAGGAGTTCTATGAGGACAACGTGCTCTACATGGAGATCAGAGCCAGGCTGCTGCCGGTGAGCCCCACTCTGCTGTTCACTCCTCCCAAGTCCTGTGCTCCTCCCACCTCATGTGCTCCTCCCACCTCCTTTGCCCCTCCCACCTC